AGAGTTTTTATCATGAGTGGATGTTGAATTTGTTAGATGCGTTTTCTCTGTTTCTATTGAGATGATCATATGATTCTTTTCGTTTATTCTGTTAATGTGATGTATCACATTGATTGTATATCGAACCATCCTTGCATCCTAGGAAAATAAATCCCGCGTGATTTTGGTGAATGATCGTTTTAACGTGCTGCTGAATGTGGTATGCTAGCATTTTGTTGACAATTTTTTCATCTATATTCTTCAGGGATATTGACCTGTAATGGATTTTTCTTCTTGAATTTTTACTTAGACAATTTACAAATAATGGCATTAAAAAAATTTCTTTCCAATATATATTTTTATATGTTATTTGTTTTCTAATTACATTGAGTAAGAAAGTGATCCCCAGAAGAGTATGGAAAAAAATGGTGACTATAATCCTCATTTTGTTCCTGACTACATGGAAATAATTCTAATGTTTCACCACTAAGTCTGCTCATGCTTCTGATTCTTTATTAAATTAAGGATGCTTCCTTCTATTCCTGGCTTTAGTAGGAATCTTATAATGTATGCTGAATTTCATCAGATACCTTCTTATATTCATTTAATGATCATAACATTTAACTTTTTTGATCTCCTAATATAACCAATTATATTAACAAGTTTTTATCATGTTAAATCAATGGTTTTTAGCATATATTCTGTTTAGTCATGGTACATAATTCTTGTGATACAATCTGTAATTAATTTGCTTTGTTTTAGTTTTTATTTTTATATCTATGATCATAAATAAGATTTGGTTCATCTGTTTATTTTTGTGCTGTGTTTGGTTTGGGTATCTGAGTTATTTTAGTTATATATTACTGAGAACCTTTCCATCTTCTTTTTTTTTAATTTTTTTAATGTTTATTATTGAGAGACAGAGAGAGACAGAGCATGAACATGGGAGGGACAGTGAGAGGGGGAGACACAGAATCTAAAGCAGGCGCCAGGCTCTGAGCTGTCAGCATAGAGCCCGGTGCAGGACTCGAACCCACAAACTGCGAGATCATGACCTGAGCTGAAGTCAGACACCCAAAAGACTCCACCCAGGTGCCCCTCAGTCTTCTTTTTATGTGCAACGTACCTATTTACTTAAGGTTTTCCAAAACTCATCCAGTAAAACTTTTTGGCCCTGGTCCTTTTTTTCCTTTCCAGTTTCTATCTTCTTTTGTAAAAAATGTTACTCGCTTTATAATATTGTATTTGAAAAGTAATTCATCAGTACATTGCCATTATACAAAAGTAAAAAAATACAGAACTATGGTCTTCTTCAGTAATTTCTGGAACTTTCATCCCTTTCCCCAGTTAACCACTGTCAACAGTTTGGTGAAAACTCTTCCATGAATTTAAAGGATTAAATAATTAAAATCTCACTCTGTTATTTTCTGATATGCAGTTGCACAGTGCTATGCATTCTCATATTATTATGTTTATACCATGTTATTCCATGTATCCATATACAACACAATGTATTATAATATGTACATGTATATATTGCTATAAGTTACATATACACGGGGGTGCCCGTGGGTGGCTCAGTTGGTTGTGTGTCTGACTTTGGCTCAGGTCATTATCTCACAGTTTGTGGGTTTGAGCCCCACATCGGGCTCTGTGCTGACAGCTCAGAGCCTGGAACTGTTTCAGATTCTGCGTCTCCCTCTCTCTCTCTCTGCCCCTCCCCTGCTCATGTTCTGTCTCTCTCAAAAATAAATAAACATTAAAAAATTAAAAAAAATTACATATACATGAGAATGCAATACTTAAACACATGTACTTTATAATGAGTTTGTGTCTTACACATTTTTAATGTGGTAAATTATGCATAACCTACAATTGATCATGTTAATCATTTTTTAATTTTTTTTAATGTTTACTTATTTTTGACACAGAAAGAGACAGAGCGTGAGTGGGGGAAGGGCAGAGAGAGAGGGAGACACAGAAGCAGAAGCAGGCTCCACACTCTGAGCCATCAGCACAGAGCCTAATGCAGGGCTTGAACCCACAAGCTGTGAGATCATGACCTGAGCAGAAGTTGGATGCTTAACCAACTGAGCCACCCAGGCTCCCCAGTCATGTTAATCATTTTTAAGCGTATCGTTCAGTGGCATTAAATACGTTCATGTTGGTGTGTAACCATTATTACCACCATCTGTCTCCAGCCTTTTTTATCTTGCAAAACTGAAAGTCTGTACCCACTAAACAAACAAGAACTCTCCATTGTCTCCTACCCCAACTCCTGACACCCACCGTTCTCCTTTCTGTCTCTGTGAACTTGACTACTCATACGAATGGAATTATACAATATTTATCCTTTTGTGACTGGCTTATTTCACATAGCATAACATCTTTGTGGTTCATCCGTGTTACACAGCATGTGTCAGAATTGCCCCCTTTAAGGACGAATACTATTCCATTATATGTATTTACCACGTGGTGTCTTTCCACTCATCTGTGGATGGACACTTGGGTTGCTTCCGCCTTTGACTATTGTAAATAATTTTGTAAACGCGGGTATGCAAGTCTCTGTCTGAATCCCTGCTTTCAGTTCTTTGGGGTTTGAACCCAGACGTGGAATTGCTGAATCATGTGGTTGTTCTGTATATAATATTTTGAGGAACTGTTCTTTCTGGTGGTAGAACCATTTTATATTCCCACCAATGGTTCATGGGTATTCCGATTTCTCCTCATCCTAAGGATTATTTTCTGGTTTTATTTTATGTTTTTTTTTTTTTTTTTTTTTTATAATGGCCATCCTAATAGGTATGAAGTGGGATCTCATTGTGGTTTTGCTTTGCATTTCCCTAAAGAGTAGTGATGTTGAGCATGTTTTTATGCACTTAATGGCCATGTGTATATTCTCTTTGGAGAAATGTCTGTTCCAGTCCTTTGCTCGTTTTTACCTTAGGTTGGTTGTTCATTGTTGAGTTGTACAAGTTCTTCGTATGTTCTGGATATTAACCCCTTATCTGATATGTGATTTGTAAATATTTTCTCCCGTTCCGTTTTTACTCTTGTTCACAGTATCCTCTGATGCACAAAAGTTTAATTGTGATATAGTCCAATTTATTTGTTTTTATTTGTTGCCTGTGCTTTTGGTGTCTTATCCAAGAAATCATTGCCCACATATATTGTTTTTTAGCTTCCCTTTTTTAGTCATCAGTATGTATGTTGGCTTTAATTCCACATCAAGTCCTATAGCTTCTTATCTTTACTTTTATCAGGTGTAGAGTATTCCTGAGTATGTGTGTATCACTGTTTGTTTCACCTCTCCCCTTAATAGTGGACATTTAAATAGTGTTCATTGTTTTGTTTTGTTTTGTTTTGCACCTATGTATATTAGGAACAAACAAACAAAATCTGGAAAGAATATTTATCCAAGTGTTAGAGGTGATAATCTCTGGGTAGCAGGATTAGAAATGGTTTTATCTCCTTACTTGTTTGCATTTTTTTCAATTTTCCGTAATAAACAGGTATTTTTATGTAATGAAAACTTACAGACAAGTCAGCAAACATAGTAACATCCTTTGATCCAACCATTTTGTCCCAGAATTTATCAAAAGAAAAAAAATGTGTTCTCTGGAAGTTACACAAAAACAGTCTGTGCTCCAAGTAATTCATATCAATGATAACAGGCTAATATCATGGAGTAACAGACTTAATGTTCAAATGGGGGACTGCTGGGGTAAAATTTTGTACATGAGCCCAGATTATCATGTAGCCATGAGAATTAATTTCAGAATGCGTAACAGCATGGAAGAAAAGAACATCTCTAAAGACTAGGATAAAGACACAAGGTGATTACCTAGGCGAGGGATCTTCAGACTTTTTTCTTTGAAGGGCTAGATAGTAGAGAGATTAGGCCTGTGAGCCTTGCTCTCTCGCTTACAACCACCCAATCCTGCCTTTGTGGGTAAAGGACATAAGTGAATGAGTGTGGCCAGGCTTAGTCCGAGGGCCCTAGTGTGTGGACCACCCCCCATCAGAGCACTTGAACGAGGCCTGGAGACGGAGGCTGAACAGGTGGTAGCATTGATTTTAAACTTTAATTTAGTCTTTTTTTTTTTTTTTTTTTTTTTTTTTTTTTTTTTTTTTTTAAATTTTTTTTTTCAACGTTTATTTATTTTTGGGACAGAGAGAGACAGAGCATGAACAGGGGAGGGGCAGAGAGAGAGGGAGACACAGAATCGGAAACAGGCTCCAGGCTCTGAGCCATCAGCCCAGAGCCTGACGCGGGGCTCGAACTCACAGACCGTGAGATCGTGACCTGGCTGAAGTCGGACGCTTAACCAACTGCGCCACCCAGGCGCCCCTAATTTAGTCTTTTAAAAATGCATTTAAGGGGCACCTGGGGGGCTCAGTTTGTTCAGCATCCAACTTCGGCTCAGGTCATGATCTCGTGGTTCTTGGGTCTGGGCCCTGTTTTGGGCTTTGTGCTGACGGCTCAGAGCCTGAAGCCTGTTTTGGATTCTGTGTCTCCCTCTTTCTCTCTGCCCCTACCCTGCTTGTGCTCTTTCTCTTTCCCCCTCAAAAATAAATAAACATTAAAAAAAAGTTTTAGGGATGCCTGGGTAGCTCAGTCGGTTAAGTGTCCGACTTCAGATTAGATCATGATCTCACAGTTCGTGAGTTCAAGCCCTGCCTTGGGCTCCACACTGATGGGGCAGAGCCTGCTTGGGATTCTCTCTCTCTCTCTCTCTCTCTCTCTCACTGCTCCTCCCCAACTCGCTCTTTCTCTCTCTCTCTCTCTCTCAAAATAAATAAATAATAACTTAAAAAATTTTTTAATGCATTTAGATAAAATTATGAGTAGTATTAATATGCCTTCCACACAGTAAGTGCTTTCCAGAGATTTCTTGATAATAAGACAAAAATGTGGTTAAAGAACCCTTTGCAAATACCCTCAGTTTTCACTGACTCGCTTATGTTGTTAGGCCTTCCACACACAAGGTTTACTGTATTTGTCTTGTGTTCTTTCCCAGGGGAAGAAAATGTGATTGCTGTTCCTTTAGGCAGTCGAAGTGTAAGAATTACACTGAAAGGACCGGCCCATCTTTGTAAGTACAAGTTAATCTTGACATGTTTTTATTTCCTGATAGTTTATGTAGCCAAAACAAAAACCTTCCATTGTGTTCTCAGGTAGGTAGGCAAACGTCTCAAGGATTTTGCCAGCCACTCTGAAATCGCCTCCATCACTGGGGAATGATCAATACCCTGAATTTTTCTGTTCTCCTGCCCCAGTGCACGGAAATATACCAGTCGGAATTAATCCCCTTGTGGGAGAAGAAATGGAGTTACAATGAGGATAAACTATTTTTACATGGAGATTAGAATGGGGTTCAAGAGTTTTCTAGAAATTTCAACAGTTTGGGACAAAAAGAATTTTTTTAAACACAGAACCATATCAGTGATTATGGCTGAAAAGTATAAGCTTTGTTGCTAGCACATCACAACATCGGGTCCAGGGGCTGCGAGAGTAAACACTGGTTTCCCAGAATACTGAGTTTGAAATGATAGAAGATTGTCGCTATATTGTTTCTTTGGCCAAAGTCAGATGGCATCTCCTCTGTCTTTGTCTTCTGTTCTCTTAGGACCTAAAAGAACAGGAAATACCAAAGTTTGCTTCTTTCCCAAGGTCTCCTTGTGGCCAGAGGCAGGACTTCCTCAGTCTTATTCTCAGGAGAATGGGTTTGTGCCAAGACTGGCTCCCTGGCCTTGAGGAAGCTTACTGAGTTCAGCAATCTCTTTCCTTAAAAGTACAAACCAGTATTTATAACTATTTTAAAGGTACACAAATCAAGGTCCACTGGATCCAAGTGCTACACAGTTTTTGCCATTTTTCTTCCGAGCCGCTGTCCTAGATTTTTTATTATAAAATTTTCTCTGGGCCACAAGCATATTACATCTTTGGTAGCTTTTAAATGTGTGTGTGTGTGTGTGTGTGTGTGTGTGTGTGTGTGTGTGTGTGTGTGTTTTGAATTCATTCAAACCAGAAATGTTCTCTGAGAAAAGGTGATGTCAAAATGTTTAAGTAAACATGTTTAAGATCACCAGTAATATAGATTAAAATCTTGAAAAGAAAAAAACCCAAGAAATTCTGCAGTACATTATGATCTAAATCAGAGAAGCAACAGAATGTCTTTGGGGCAGTAAGGGTGAATAATTGTTTGAAAGGTTTTGTTTTTTTTTGTTTTTTTACCCTTAACTTCATTTTATGAATTATGACCAGAAGAGTGTGACCGATATTTTTTAACTAAAATACCAAAATGTTTACAGTCATATAATGGTTACTTTATTCAAGGCTTTCTCTGCAAGGAAGCATCACAACATTCTCTCAGCTTCTTTTTAAAATGGCTTACAGCCTAGAGCTCTTGATGAGAGTAAATCTTCATCCTTACAAATGTGAACTTGGTTTTTTGAAAACAGGTAAAAATCGTTCAGATCCAAGTTTTGTGGATCATTTGAGGGATCCCATTGTGACATATAATTCTGGATTCAAAACTACAAAGTGCTGAGTGTTAATAGTAGCATTATTCATAATAACCATAAAGTGAAACCAGCCCAAATGTCCATCACCTGATGGATGGATAAATAAAATGTGGCGTATGTAGAACATTACTTTGCTGTAGCAGACAACGAAGGACCGACCTGTGCTACAACGTGGATGGCCGTTGAAAACATGTGAAAGAAGCCAGATGCTAAGGGCCACATATTATATGATTCCATTTATGTCTAATGTCCAGAATAAGCAAATCTATGGAGACAGAAAGGAGACTGATGGTTGCCTGGGGCTTGGGGGAGTCAGATTCGTGGGGAGATGGGGGCATGACTGCTCGTGGGTATAGGATTTCCTTTGGGATGACAAAAATGTTCTAAACTTAGATCATGGTGATGTTTTCACAACTCTGTGAATGTACTGAAATCGTTAAACTACAGTTTAAATGGGCAGGATTTTATGGCTTGTGGATTTTATGGCGTATCAAAAAGATGTTTAAAAAATCTTCAGCAACTGGGCCCAATTTTCTCATGATGCTCAAGGCAGTTCCCCAAAATTCAGCTGCGAAAAGCAAAAGTAGGTTTGTAAGTTCCAAAACCAGAATAGGTAGACGGTAAACAGAATAAGTAACAATGAATACTTTGAGGGAAAATATTCATTTACATGCAAATATGTTCTGGCATACTAAATATAACTTTATACTCAAAACTGGCACTGTTCCAAGAACAGGGCTCAAAAATGTTCCCATTTCTCCCAAGGTGACAGAGCTGTTGTTTGGAACATTTCTCCTTCTGAACAGTCTTGCAATTGACTCTGGAAGGGTTTCTGAAAGTTCTCGTTCTCTGCTGATGATTAGAACTGGCTTTATTTACAAAGGATTTAGTTAGCATTTCTGAACATCTAAATATAGAAGTGGTTTTATTTTCTTGATTTATACAACTGTTTTCTTAATTTTTTATTTGAAACAAAGATACATTCCTGAAATAAAGCTTACTTTGCTGAAATAAATCATTCTTTGAAGATCTTCATTAACTACAACCTTCCAAAAGGCTACATCATTAAGAACTGAGAACACTCAGTAATGTTAATGTCAGTCTCTTTGCTGTGGAATGGAATTTAATTACAGAATGTCTGTCTTACCTACTGCCTAGAGGTGTTCAGATCCTAAATTTCCAGTCCTGTCCAAAGCCTGGCCCCAACATAGTCCCCCATTTCCCTAAAACATCAAAAATGGAAGCAATAAAAGGATTCCTGGGAAGGAGATTTTATTATAGCAAAGCTTTGGCGTTAAATGTGTTTGACTAGCAGTAAATGTGAGAAGGCATGGTGCCATAAACTGAAAACCTGCATTATTGGTAAAAAGAATCATTTTTGACCATGTGTAGACATGTACAGTTGACCTTGAACAATGTGGGGGTTAAGGGCACCAACCCCTGCACAGTGGAGAATCTGCGTAAAACTTTTGACTCCCCCTGGATTGAACCACCAACAGCCTATTGTTGAGCAGAAGCCTTACTGGCAACTTAAATAGTCAGTTAACGCATATTTTATATATTATCTGTTTTATATACAGTATTCTTACAATAAGGTCAGCCAGAGAGAAGAAAATGTGATTAAGAAAGTCTTAAGGAAGAGAAAACACATGGACAGTACTGGGACTGTGTTTCTTGAAAATAAATCCCTGTTATCAGTGGACCTGTGCGGTTCAAGTCCGTGTTGTTAAAGGGTCGACTCTAAAAATACAAGCGTAGATGCATAGTGACCAAAGGAAATGACTAGTGAGTCTGGTCGCACGTACTGTAAATGCAGCACTACTCGAAACCCGAGTTTGATGTATTTCTGACTGCCATAGCTGTGTGAACGCTCTGTATGTTTACCTAACAGGACTTTAGTGGCCTTGGAATTTAAGGAGACCTTTTGAGGATGGTTAGCAGAAGGCTAACCTCTTTCGAAAGAGAGATGCCTGGACTGGTGCTTCTCCGTGCACACCCTTCCGCTGGAAGCAGCTAGAAGCTTCCATCATCTTTGTAGATATCTCTCTGATAAACAACTGGAATGAATCAGAATATTTATTTATTTATTATTTTTTACATGTTTGTTTATTTTGAGAGAGAGACAGTGTGAACAGGGGAAGGGCAGAGAGAGAGAGAAAGAGAGAGAGAGAGAGAGAGACAGAATTGGAGGCAGGCGCCAGGCTCCGAGCTGTCAGCACAGAGCCTGACATGGGGCTGGAACTCACGAACCAGGAGATCATGACCTGAGCCAAAGTCAGATGCTTCACCAGCTGAGCCACCCAGGTGCCCTGGATCAGAATATTTAAAGGCACCATCATAGACTTGAGCTGTGAAGATTTGGGGAATTTGAAAGCATCTTGACTTCTGATTCTACTTTTATCTGTTGGAGACCGCACATCATCTTTGTCTTCACTCTTCTCTGCAACCCCCCACCGTTTTAAGCCTGAGGAGGAGAAAGAAGTCAGCGGTGGACAGCAGGGCTGAAGGCACACACCCTCTGCCTTTAGTGGTGGGTATGTTTAGGGGCTTCCTGGTCTCCACCCAGGACAAGCCCTCTTGCTGCAGAAACCACAGAGGGGTCCGGAAAAGCTCTATCAGCTGAAGGGCCGTGTGCATTTCTTAGTAGCCACGAATCGTGCATCATCACAACATAGGGCTGCAGTCAAATACAGCAGAATGCTCAAAATTAATAAACACTTAAAAATGGATTTATAAGTCAACACATCATCTGAATTGTTGCTTTCCACCGGTCTCCACCTCGCCTGTGGATTCATCACAGTGGCTCTGTTAGTCCATATTATCTGAATCACTTGTATCCATGATCTCCACTTTCATGAAATCCCTTCCCCTGTCTTTAGTCGCCCACTTTTGACTCCTACACAGTAGCGATCAGAGAACCTGCCTTGCACGTCCTACCTATGCAGCCAGCATTTGCAACCTAGAGAGCTGGAGACCTTCTGAAAAAAAAAAAAACCATAAAGACAGTTTTTTCACGAGCATATATGTGTCAGTGGAGGGAAAGAGTGGTTTGGATAATTCACCTGCCCTTGAAAAAAGGGCAAAAAGAGTGGATTTGCTCCCTGAAGTTCTCATGCCCTTGCCACTAACAGTCCTGGACACTGTCCAAGTAATGGAATAGATTTGATAGCAAAAAAAAAAAAAAAAAAAAAAAAAAAAAAAAAAAGCCAAAACACCAGGACCAGACTAACAGAAACGCTGGTCTTTGGTTTCCAAGCCTGGATGTCCGACCGGCCTTCCCCTTCCTCCCAGATTCCGGCATCTCTGCTGTGACTCCGCATTCCGATGACACTTAGGAAGCTGTGATCCTAGCAGAGGCTAACGCAGTGCTGAAGCAACCCCAGCACAGCCGTGGAAGCCGCTGAACACTATCTGCATTTAACCTCAACTCATTTCAGGCTGAACCTCCGTCTAGAAGCTCGGTGTCTTTCAAGCCCTCTGTGTGGATGGATTTTGTCCAGTCTCGCCGTGTGTTTTGATGTTGCCAGAATGCTCGCTGTTGCTCCTCCTTTACTGCAGAGGGATAATCCATGCAGTGTGGGGCCTTCTTACTATCTCTAGTGTCCCATCTTTGTTTTTCTGACAGCTCACTTTGTAACAGTTTTATGTCTTCATTGGAACCGGGAAATGAATTTAATCTCACGCTTTCCAAAAATCCACTGCGGTCGTAGCGATCAGGGCCAGCGTGGTTGGGGTTTTGTGTGCCTGAGAGTAGCCGTCAGTATTCTTCGACCGCTAATGACTCCTGTAGATCAAGGAGCTCTGAATTTTCTCAGAAAAGTTCCCAGCCTGCCTGTCAGGCATAATCAGGGACGTCTCCTAATGCGTGTTATGCAGTCTGTCCAGGGCTCTTGGATTCCCACAGATGCTCCAGAGAGCAGAGAGAAATCAAAGGAAAACAGCCAAACACAGCCGCGTGCAGATAGCAGCCCCCGATGCCAGACGGTTTTGTTGTGTTTTCTCAGCTTTCCTGGGGCTCGGGTTCTGTCGTGTCCTTGGTTCAAGGTGGTCGAAGGGCCATTGAATATGCATGAATCAAGTATAGGTTTCAGAGCAGAAGATCTGTGATATTGTCTGTTCTGACTCCACATTTTAGAAACAAGACAGTGAAAACCCAAGGCAGAGATGGAAAGAGAGCTGGGGTCAGAAATGCATGTGCCCCGGGCCCTGGCCACACATTTTTGAAAAATTTTTAGCGTTTATTCATTTTTGAGAGACAGAGAGAGACAGAGCATGAGCAGGGAAGGGACAGAGAGAGGGAGACACAGAATCTGAAACAGGCTCCAGGCTCTGAGCTGTCAGCACAGAGCCCGACGCGGGGCTCGAACTCATGGACCGCGAGATCATGACCTGAGCTGAAGTCGATGCTCACCCGACCGAGCCGCCCAGGCGCCCCTGAATTTTTTTTTTTTTAACCTTAGACCAGAAAGAAATATCCTTTACAAAAAGTAGAAATGCTGTTTTGGTTCAACTGTTGACATTTTTCTGTAGGAGGTCTAAAAGCCCTTCTGTTCATATAAAAGCAAATGTGAATGAAGAGATAACATGCGGGGGAGAGATCTTTGTGGTGATGAAATAGTGCTGTGTCTCCATCCCGGTGATGTGTGATAAAATGGCATAGGAATGCACACGTTTTACCGATGTCGATTTCCTGGTGTTCATACTGCAATGTAGTTATTATATAAGATGTAACTGTTCCTTTGGGCAAAATGGTGCATAGGACCTCTCTAGTATTTTTGCAACTTCCTGTGAATCTATATTTCAATATGAAAAGCTTACTTGAGAAAAGAAAAAAGCAAGTTCAAAATTCACGGTGGTTTTGTCCAAATGAAAGACTGGGCTTAAGATCTTCTCAACGGATGGGGAAGCGCTAGGTGGCGCTGATGGGATTAGCGGCCTACCAGCCAGGTCCGCGATCTCATGATCGTGAGGGATTCGAGCTTGCTTGTCGAGGCTCTGGAGGCTGGTGGCACCGAGCCTGGAGCCTGTTCGGTCTGTGTCTCCCTCTCTCTCTGCCCCTCCCCGTTCATGTCTCTCTCTGTCCCAAAAAAATAAATAAACGTTAAAAAAAAAAAAAAAAAAAAAAAAGATCTTCTCAACGGATGATCAAATGAGTAACATATCTTTACTTTGAATAATAGCGACATCATGAAAAAGTAGGAAGAAAGAGATGTTTTCTCTTTCCCCTTATTGCAGGAATGGCTCCAAATTGTTGCGTAGACCCAATTGGACCTCACACCTTTGTGGACGACTAAAAAGCTTGCATATGTATCCCACCAATCTGAGTCCATGTAAGCTAAGTGGCTATGTTGATATTGGGTTGATATCATTGTGGTAGGGTCCCCTCCCTAAGGAAAAAACAAAAACTCAAGGCAACCTGGCTATACGTGTATGTGACAACATCCCTCACGACCTTGTAACATGAGACCGCTTATTCAGACTGCATGTTTGTGTGTTATCATCTATGGGAGACAAAGAAAGAGAAAATGTATAAGAACCTCTGCCTCGTGCTGTTCGGGGCTCAGTTTTTCAGGTATGAACTCAACTGAGCGGTGCTGGCACAAATAAAGTTAATTCCTGGAAAGAAAGGCCTCGCTGTCACGACTCTCGGTGCGAGAATCCTGCTACTTCCGATGCTGGTATACGTGTAGTGAAATAATTTTTGAAATAGAACGAATGCTTTCAAGATAGTTCTCTCATTTCACTTCTGTTTTTAAATTTTAGTTATCGAATCAAAAACACTTCAAGGAAGCAAAAGAGAACACAGCTTTAACAGCCCTGGAGTTTTTGTTGTAGAGAACACCACGGTTGAATTTCAGAGGGGCTCGGAGAGGCAGACCTTTAAGATCCCAGGACCTTTGATGGCTGATTTCATTTTCAAGGTACGATGCGCCTTTTCGCAAATGTCCTGCATCTGAAGCTCCTCACATCTTGAATTTTTGAAACGCTGCGTTTGTTTACCAGGAAGTCATCAGTGATTGTTTCTACACTGAGCGTGTATCATGCATCTTTCCATCTTGGCAGCGGCTTCCTAAAAATTGTTCATCTCCCTCTAGTTTCTGCTCCTCAACCCCACCAGTTAAGAACAAACCTCACTTTTTTTAGGGGAGGGATTGTTTTTGCATTTATAGACTCTGGTTGTGTTCAGTTTCAAACCTCTAGGCGGAGTTTCGTGAAAATGGTCAACGGTTCAATGCTGCATGTCCTAATGTGTTGTGCGTGCTGTCTCCTTGCAGAGAAAATGGGGGCTCATCCCTTTCCTTCCTGGTTTGTTTCCTCAGTTGTATCTCATCACATGCGCTCATTGGGCACGTCATAGGGGTCCTTCTAAGAACTCTTCTTGTTTCTAACCCTGAGCCTCTGTCCCCTCTCTGGGCGAATCAGGGTGCATCTTTCCTCAGTCAGAGGATATGAAATAGAGTGGCCAATATATTTCCAAGGTAACACAGTGTGAAAATTCTTCTGATGAAATTGAAAATACCCAAGACATGAAGAAAAGAAAGGGCATTTCCGTGGGTGGTTTTGTCCCAACCCTTTTCAGAAACTCATTCCAAACAAAAATGGAGAAAAGCAAGTAACGGCCCGGAAGGGCTTTACCCGTGTACTCAATGCCTTCGAAAGACCTGTCCGTGTACCACATAATTATCTGTCACAGAATGTTCCTGGTTGCACACCGGTGTCCTGTGCTCCAGATTCAGCCTGCAGTGTGGCCAGCCAGGCGTTGAGCTGCACAGTGTTGTTTCTTTGAGTCTGAGTTGTACATGGTCGACATTTAAAAATCGAGGAATTTAACATAAAACTATCAGCTATTTTTATGCTTCTCTTTAAAATGGGAAGATGGAACTCCTAGTTCACATTTGGTCCTAGCAAGAACTGGCTGCAGCAGGTTACCAGGGGCTTTCCCATCAGGGCACACTCCGTCCGCGCCGTGGTCCCCACTGCTCCCTGTTGGGTTCATGACTTTGAAGGCATGAGCGTCGGTTCACAGACATGTAGGTTGCCTTTCACAGACACTCCTTGCTGTTCACAGATGTCTAAGTGACTTTTGTGTCAGACCCTTAAAGCATTAAGCCCGTGTTAGTTTTGGACAATCGCATTTTTAAAAGGCTTTTGGGAAGTATAATTGCCATCTTCCTTTCCTTCTATTCTTTCTCTCGGGCGCATTGTTATCCCAAAGTTCTGTGCTGCTTTCGCCCCTGAGGGTTTTCCCATTTGATTCTCAAGTAGTTAAAGTACACCCTTGCATGCACGCGCACACACGCACACACACAGTCACACACACGCACACACGCACACATCTGCACACACATGCACGCACACATCCACACACATGCATTCACACCCACATGCACCCACATGCACTCACATCTGCACACACATCCACACACACATGCATGCACACATGCACACACATAGGCACCTTTTCTTTTTTTAATCCTGTTTTCATTCCTTCTTAGACAACGTGTGTTCTTCTCAGGTCATCTTGGAGATCTCTGCATGGGAGGTCCTTGTAAAATGATGGAACGGAAGGAATAGCACAAAGGTCACCCTTTCAAGATATTGTTTGGTTGCAGCATCAGCATGGAAAATATACTTTTTATTGTCACCATGCATAAAAAAACAACATACACATAAACCATATATTTCTACATGTTGGTGTGTGTACATTTTTTTTTTTAAGATTTGAG